GATTCCTAAACTGGTTAGACTTTGCTTTAGTTTGTGGATCTCTACTTGTTTATTTAAAAGGAGTTGAATTTCTTCATCGGTTAATTGCCCTTCTAGGATACTTCTACAAGCTGCCAGTTGACCTTGATTAAAGACACTATTTTCGCCTTCTTTGATTATTGCAATTTGAGCATTCAAAAGCAGGTCAATTGTCTTTGCAAAACCGGCTCCTACTTTGTTTTTGATAGCAGAAATTAGTCGTTTTAGTTCGCTTGCTTTGCTGACAATCTGACTGGTTAAATCTTTGCTTCTTAGACTTACTATCTCTTGAGCTTGTTTTTCAATAATTTTCCCAGTTAGTTGCTGATTTAGTTCTAGACTGTTAGCAAAATTTTCAATCTCGGCGGTCTGTTGCTGATTTTGCTGATTAAGTTGCAAAACCTCATTTCCTAACTTATCCCGATATTCAGTATCATTATCTGCTAATAAGCGACGATACCAATTATTTAAGTCTTGTGAATGTTGTTTTTCTATTTCAATCTCTAATTGTTTATTAGCAGTTTCTTCATTGGCTTGACTCAACTGCTGTTGCGAGTTTTCTAAATCTTTCTGCAAACTTTCATTTTTCTCTTTTTCTTTTTTATAGAGTTCTGTTAATTCATAATTTTTTCTTGTCTCTTTTCAAAACTTATCTTTGAGATTTCGAGCTTCATCATGCAAATCACAGGTGACATTAACTTGGAAATTTCTTAACTTTTCTATTCTTTTTTTGTCGTCGCTAAGATAACCCTCATGGCTAGGATCACAGAGAGCATAAAAAAGTTGGTCTACATGAGAATTAAGCCTTTTATCAAAAGAATAACGAAAATCGTTTAACTTTTTTAAAGGTAAATATTCTAATCCGTGATCAATATCAGTATTTTCAATATTAAGTGATTCTAAATCATTCATATTTCTTAAAGATTGTAAAGAACCGTTAAAACGATTATAGATGCCTTTATTTATCCTAAACAGCCAGAAGACTCCCACTTCCATAAGTGGGGGATGAATGGCCAACGCAACTTCTTAACTAA